GCCAGTGACCAGTACTGCTCTGGGCTAGGATTTAGACTCTGAGCTGAAGCTGTGGTTCCGGGCCCAGACCCTCCTTTCCCAGCCCATCACCCGCCTTTCCCTCCATCCCACGCCCCGCTGTGCCTCTGCACATACGGTCCCCTCTCTCTGGAACGCCCTGCCCTCTCTTCTCTCCAGGCCTCTGTCTACGGTTAATTGTTACCTGTCCTTCAGGAGTCACTTCTCAGAAGGCTCGTCAGAGGCCGCTCCCACTCGGTGCCCACCCCCACCACCCAAGCCAGGTCAGTCCGAGCAATCTCTTTTGCTGACGTGTCTTCCCTACTAGACTGTAGGACACCCGAAAGGTGGTGCATCTTTGTTTCCTGTGTGTGCAGAGTGCATCACAGTCTCGCCCACTGTGGTTGCTAAAATGACACACACGGGGTGAGGCAATAAACCACGCAGGGCTGGGTTCGAGCGCGTTGCGTTCTGGAGCACGGACAAGCGCCTCACAGCAAGAATGGAGAGGCACAAGAGGGTGGCCTTCCCGCTGGAGGTCAAGATGGACAGTCAGGACTTGAGTCAATGAGGACCCATAATAAACCGTTTTTCACACCACGAAAGACAGGACCTGATGGCGTGACGACAGCTGTAGTTCAGGGTCATTTTCTCGGGTTACAGGCCTCGTAACCTCAGGCCCGGGGGCAGCATGGGACCGGTACTCGCCAAAGCCCCTCCGGTCCACGCGCTTACCTTGTAGCCTTGGCATACGTCCTCGATGACAGCTGTGTCATGCCCTTTGTGCTGTGGTGACCGCTCACAGCGCCAGCAGATGAGCTGGCCTTCGTCTTCGCAGAACAGGTGGAGGAACTCTCCGTGTTCCTCACAAGACATTTCCTGGTCCATCTCCTTGATGGCTTCGATGAGATTTCCCAGGTGCTTGTTGGGCCGGACGCTGGCCATCCGAAACGGAGCCCGGCAGTGGGGACAGGAAAACACATTGAGCGACGGCTCCTCCTGGTGTAGGTTCTTCAGGAAGTCGTCGATGCACTGTCTGCAGTAGCTGTGCCCACAGCTGATGCTCACGGGCTCTGCCATCAGGAGCAGGCAGATAGCGCAGGTGACTTCCTCCTTCATCTTCTTGGTGACTATGGGGGAGGCCATGGCTCTGCCTGACAGGCTCCAATACCGGATCGAGAGGCAGAGATGAAAATCCACAGGGATGGAAGTACACGTCGCCCGAGCCTCGGCACGGTGCCCTGCGCTGGCCTCCACGCGCCTTGGAGTCTCCTCTCTCGAGAGAAGAAACGGATTGGAATTTAGATGATACGTAAAATGTAGCTGCGTTGGGGGCACCTGGGTGGCTCGGTGGGTCAAGCAACCGACTTCGGCTCACGGTTCATGGGTTCGAGCCTCGTGGCGGGCTCTGTGCTGACAGCTCGGAGCCTGGAGCCTGCTTCCGAGCCTGCTTGGGATTCTGCGTCTCCCTCTCTCTCTGCCTCTGTCCCACTTGCGCTCTGTCTCTCAAAAGTAAATAAACGTTAGGGGCGCCTGGGTGGCTCAGTCGGTTGGGCGTCCGACTTCGGCCCAGGTCATGATCTCAGGGTTCAGGGGTTCGAGCCCCGTGTCGGGCTCTGTGCTGATAGCTCACAGCCTGGAGCCTGCTTCCGATTCTGTGTCTCCCTCTCTCTCTGCCCCTCCCCAGCATGCACTCTGTCTCTCTCTCTCTCTCAAAAATAAACATTAAAAAATTTTCTTTTTAAAATAAATAAACATTAAGAATTTTCAAACAAATGTTGCTATGTTGTGCCAAACAGGAGTGACTATCACGTGTGGCCGCTTACATTTACATTCGTGAAAATTAAATAAAACTTAAAAATTCAGCTTCTCAAGCAGGCCAGCCACATTTCAGTCGTTTAACAGCTGCGGTGACTGGTGGCTACACAGGAGCACATAGGCAACACTCTGTCACTGCAGAAAGTTTCCTTCCAGCAAACACTGACAGAGGACGAGGAAGGTTTCCTGCAGCAACAGAGAAGTCAGGGAGGGAGCGTGATACTCTCCTGCTCTAGGAAACATCCAGAGTCACTATTCCCAGAACTATTTCTTTGGGACTGGTAGGAACACCGAGGTAACTGGGTGGTCTATGAAGGATTCCATGGAGCTCATCCAATGTGACTCTACCCTTCCCGCTGCCACTCCCCCTCCTTCGCCCCACCCCACCGCACTCAGTCCCACAAGGAACAAAAGACAGCGGGTTAATAGAGTCTCAGGGAGCCCCAACCAGGACCCATAATGAAAGTAAACAAGACAAGGAGAAGAACCGATGTGTCCTTTCCGGAGTCCTCTCAGCCTGAGGGAAAAGAACTAGAAGGAGCTGGGAGAGGTGTTGTCATGGGGGGGCAGAGCTCCTGCAGAATTAGGGAGCGG